TACGGCTTTTCCTCTTGTCGGCTATCATATGGACACTCATTAGATAAGGAGAGAGAAAAGCAAGGATCATGTTTTGTTGCTCAGAGATGATCTGGCTTGAGAAACATATTTTCTTTTTGCTTACAGATCCACAAAGCCTCAGCTACCATTATTGAGCCAGCAGGCGAGTCAGACAACCCTTTGCGGTTTACATCTGGGTTGGTGGTGGCCCTGGATGTCGATGCAACCCTGGAACATGTGCAGGATCCTCAGAACACTGTCAAGGTCCAGGTCTGTCAGGTTTTGGTGTCCCTGGAACTTCTAAACTGACTTTGTGTTGAAACTTTTAACTTTATCACCCCTGTAATTTCTACTGGGGAGAGAGAAGAGATGAGGTTTTATAGAAAAGAGCCTGGGCATGAATGCCAGCAGTACTGCTGGGTATGGTCTGGAGCAAGTTACTTTAAACTCTGAACCTCAGATTCAGATTTGTTAGATAACTAACAAATAGGAATGGTTGATACTGAAATGAGTTGATGTTTATAAAACCCTTGGACCTGGTAAGGGTTCACTGAAAAACAGGGCTCTTTCTGTTCATACAATGTGAGGTTAAAACTTGGTATTTCCAGGGTTACAAGCAAGCTATAATAAACTTTTCAGGCTGTGGGTAGGTCGGCTTGGTGAATAAAATTTATGCATGGGAAGCAGCAGTCACTGGAGAGTATTTTTCCCTAAGCTGGATTGATGTACTAGAGACATGTAAGAGATGCAGTATAGACAATAATCAATTTAACAGTCTGCAGTTAAGCCCCCAAAAGAGTACTTACCCGTTTGCCCATTTTTCCTTCCTTCCTTTCATTCATGCAGTGATGCTTGCTCTGCTGTACATGTTAAGGGCTAAGCAAATATATCAGAATTCCTGTCCTCAGGATGCTTAGTTTCAGTGAGAGACAGACAAATGGACAGGCAGCTGTAAAACAAAAGTTTAGTCATCAGTTCAGACAGGCACAGGATAAGTTAAGAATATAATGACCTCTTAGTAAATCCTTGATTGCTCACAATCTTGAGACCTACAGGGAACTAATTCTGAGCTGGCTGTGAGTTTGTGCTGCAGTTTTTTTTGCCTGTTTGTTTTTGTTTCCCCCCATTAGTGGTTCTCCATCCTAGCTATATTTTAGAATTATTAAGAAAGTGTTACAAAGTACTGATGCACGGCCTCAGCTTGTATCAGTTAAATCAGAATCCTGAGAGCAAGGCCCATGGGTTCCAGCATTTTTTATTAAACAGCTCATAGGTGATTCTGATAATGCACAGCCAGGGTTGAGAACCACTGTTTCACGTTGTCCCTGGAGAAAAGGTTGCTGACTGACTGAGCATAAATGAGATTGCAGGTAGGTTATGTTAGGATCATCTGCTAGACTCTACTGAAAAATCACCTTCAAACTAGCTCTACTACATGCCATGGCCAAACTGTTTGGATGCCTTTACAGGTGGGGAGATGGAGAACTCGCTGCCCAATCGCGGGACAGCTCTGATGGTAGGAAAGTACTGTCCACTTTACCTACCCTGCCTCAAACACTTTTGTTCTGGGCAGATGAAAGGAGTTATGGTGCAGGTGGGCTGAGACATACCTCCCTAGAGTTTCAAAGTTGAGAAACCTGTGAAGTTCCTACTTTACCCGTATCAGTGTATTCCCATAGCCCAGGTCTGGTGTGTTTCTAGGATATGCTTCATTCGTTCATTTAGCTCATTTATACACTATGCAGTGTAATAGGCCCTCTACACTGATAGCTGTGAGGCTCCTCTGAGTGCTGAGAGAGGGCTCTTTGGCAGTTTGTGAGACTTGAAGAACTGGCCAGTGATTTGAGCAGACCCTTCATTGAGCACTGTCTCTGTAGAAAGAGATAAACAGCTTCCTAGCTGCTTATGATCGAATGGAGAGTTACAAACTTACTCTTAATACTTGATGATTGGTGATGGATGCTGGGCCATGATATGATTCAGAGCCAGGGAGGGAGAGTCATCCTGATGGGGGTGCCTGGGAAGGCTTTTCATGTCAGGATTAATATTTTAACCTCTCCGTGTATTTAATAGAGGTACTTTATTCCTGTCACTCAGTCCATGAATTCAGGAAACATTTACCACACACCGCCTTGTGCTGGGGAGTGGGTAGAGAGATGTTGACAGTATTGTCTTCTCCTCCGGGGCAGTTTCTTGTGAAGGCTAGTGTCATCTTTTCTTTTCCTCCTGTTTTGGGATTCACAGCAGATGTCACCAGCAATTTTGTTAAAAGCTCATGGCTCTTCTGCCTCTTTCTTGTATCTGTCACCTATTAGGTCTTATATCCAGATGGTCAGGCTCAGATGATCCACCCTAAGCCGGCAGACTTCCGGAATCCTGGCCCAGGGCGTCACCGGCTTATCACTCAGGTGTACCTCTCCCACACTGCCTGGACAGGTAAGAAGTCAGTGGGCCAAGGCATTTGTTTTTTTTTGTGGTTTGAGAAATAATACATGATTGAACCAGGCCTACTTAGGGTTGAACTTAATTTCTTAAGGAGCTTAGAAGTGCAAGCTAGATACATTTAGACTAATTTGCTGTATTGCTTTGATTGCACAAGGCACAAGATTTTTTCAGAAGATAAAAAAGGAAATTATGATAGAATGGAGTCTCATGGAAAGAACCCTGGGATGAACACCAGGAGACTATGTTCTTATCCTAACTCTGCCATTGACTTGCTGTGTAATCTTGGACAAGCCACACTTCCTTCTGGAACTGTTCACTCACTTTGAAAATAATTCTCAATCTGCTATTTAGTTCTGAGGACTACTATGTCTAGAAATTAATCAGTTTTATATTTCTTACCAAAAATTTAAAATCACTCTGTTTGTGTATGAACAGTTCGGTTCATTCCCCCAAAACAAGTAAAATGACAACTGTTACTGCCCTGCCTTCCCACATGGGCTGATTTGTGGGGTAATGCAAAGACGACCTATTCATACTTTTCCATTCCTGTACAGCAACTGAGTAGAACCTCAGTAATTTGAGAAAAGATATGGAGGTTACATAAGTATTTTTCTTAAATTCATAAGAATAAAATGGGAGAATACAAGTGCAAATGACATTACATTTCAAACCTATAAGGCTGCTTTGGAAACTTTAAAATCAAAATTCAGTCTGCAGAACCTAAAATGTGGGGGAGAGTTGGCCTCAGTGGTGTTGCCTAAATCATTGAAGATGATTCAGAGGCATGGTTGTTATTGGAGAAGGTGGTTAATATCACCAAATTTGGTTTATTTTAGAAATACGTGGATGCCTTCTGGAATTTTCCTTCACTGTGTTTTGAATACATGAATAACTATTTTTTTCTCTTTTTTAGAGATCTCACAGTTTTTTTTTAATCCTCCACTTGTGCTGTGCTTTTTTCTTAGGAGAGTGGTAATTAAGTTTATTTACTTATTTAATGGAGGTACTGGAGATTGAACCCAGAACCTTGTGCATGCTAAGTGTGCACTCTAACCACTGAGCTATACCCTCCCCCATGAGTAACTATTTATTGCCATTATTAATGGTTTTCTTGTCTCAGGGGTGTTAGGTGGGTATGGATGACTTTATAAAGTTTTCACAAAGAGGAAGTGGTGCTGTTCAATGTCAGGGAGGCCCCTTCGGGGGGTCCAATGGGCCTGTCACAATGGAGAGAGCATCCAGTGTTGCTTTTGCCCAGAATCTGACTCCCTGAGCATCCCTCGGTCCATATTCTTGCTGCCTGGAACGTCCTACACTGTTTATCATAGTGCAACTCCACAGGAAGGTAGAGTTCCTTATTCTAGTCTCTTCTGATGAAGGGATCCTAAAAACAGGGCAAGAAATGCTGTGGGTCAGCACTGTTTTGCAAGGGCCAAGGCTGAGGGAGGCAAAACAGCATGTTAGAGCTCAGAAAAGCTTGAAAGGTCTTGAGGGGCATATTGATTTGCCCTTGGTTACAGAGCAGTTCATTGCCTGAACCAGGCCTATAGTCTGGGCTTTCCTGAGCCTGAAGAATTGTAATTCATCAAGAATCATCTCTGAGAGGTTGCTACCCAGTCACTGTCACAAATCTCTATTTTAATTTTCCATGCAATACTTGCTAGTGTCAGATGCTTTCTCATTTGTTTACTGACTTTGTCTCCAGTTAGAAAGTAGGCTCCATGAGAGAGGGAATCTTTACCTCTGTGTCCCCAGTACCACTATATCCTGTGTCCCTAGTGCCTGACATATAGTAGGTGCTCAACAAATAATGAAAATTGAATATAGGGTTTAAAATTTGCAATTAAAATTCATTTAATCTGTAAACAGCTTTGTGGTGGGAGTTAGTATTCTGATCTTCATTTTATAGTTGCATAAGTGGTCCATGGAGCTGATCAGTGAGGGCACTGAGGCTGGCACTCAGTTTTCCTAACTCCTAAATCCCTTGTTTTTTCACTATACCATTCTCCTATCTGACTTGGGACACTAAAGTGAGATGTGTTCTTATTGTGAATATGCCGGCGCCTTCTTTCTCCTGATCCAGGAGATGGGGCCTGATATTGGTAAGGGGCTTCTCCAACTAGTCCCTCAGCTCCCTACCAAGAGCCTCTCCTCTGGAAGACAGGATGCTATCAAGTCAGAGTTTTTGAGTCACATAGATGAGTTTCCAAATTCTGCCTGGCTTGCTGTGTGATCCTGAGAGAGTTATTTTACCACCCTGTCTCATTTTCCTTACCTTTAAGATGGGAGTAATAATATATACCTTAAGGGAGAGGGTATTAAAAAAAAAAGAATATATACCTCATAAAGATGTATTCTTCCAGGCATGATAAGTAGGTTGCATGATTTGTCCCAGATGATCTTTTGTCTCTTTTTCCTACTGTCCCCTTCCTCTTGTTTTCTCTCCCTGCTCCCTTCCTCTAATGGCAGTGGCTTGAATTGCCATTCTTCCCACATGCTGGTGAGGGAAGATAATGCCCATGATGACCATGTGGGATTTAGTCCTCTGACCTTACCAGGGATTGGTTACTGAAAGTGCTGTGAGAGCCAGGGCTGAGTTGTGGTCGGGGGTTTGCAATAGCCATCTAGGACAAAAGAAGAGAGCATAGTGGGAGAGCTGATACTGGAGCCTGGTACCAGAGGGCATTGCTAATTTCATCACAGACACACTTAAGGTTGGTATAAGGCCCCATATTAAATGGTGATGCTGGCATTGCCCTCTGGGGTTGGCTGGGTTACTGTGGCTGCCTGCACACCTTTCTCTCTCTGGAGGACAACAATCTACTCTCTGTTCTGATCCCTAGGGGAAAGTCTGGAAGTAACCAGGAAGATGTCTGGGGACTCATTGCTAAGTCCTGGGACCTCTGCCCTTATTGATTTTGATCCATCCAGTCCTCATTCCTGGCTTTTAAACTTCTTAGCCTTGAGCTCATCTTTAATGCTTGCCCCCTTCACGAAATTTAGGAAATTACCCAGTCACACGAAATTAAGGACAGCCAAGCTTGCACTGTTCTTTGCCTTTGCAATTGCCCTTAGTTTTTTCTGAAATCCTCTCCCTTTTCTTTGAAGCCACATGGTTAATAGAAAGATTAATTGCTTCAGTTTCTGAACTGAGCTCAAATTCTGTCACTGGTGTGGATTTGGGCAGTCACTTAGACTTTCTCAGAGCCTTGGGACTTTTTTGGGATTATGACAGTCTTCCTTTCATGGTATGGTGGGGTACGAACTCTTAGGGTTGTATGCTTAGCACAGAGTGAGTGTTCTATTCCAAAGCTTTCCTGGACTCCCTCCTTAATACTTCTTACAGACTCAAGTGTGCACTTGAGTCTCCACTGCAACTGTCTCTACCTCCTCAACCAGTCAGCAACTTGAGGGAGGTCTTTTTTTATTTTTGCTAGGGCCTGCTACCTGCAGACACCAGATCAGTATAGTAATTTCATGTCATGAGAGAATGGAAGGTCCGGGGACATGATTTTAGGTCCCTGAAACATGTTCCTGTTTGTAGTGAGAGTTTTTTGTCAGAATTTTTCCTAATGAAAGGCTTCTTTTCCACTAATACAGTTGAGTCCTCTGTGCATACAGCCCTGAGGCCTGAGATCATCTGGACAAAAAGAGCATGATTATCTGGGCACAAGAATTAGCCACACGCATGCACCTCTGTCTTGAGGCTGGAAGGCCTCTGTTGAAGGAGGGCTTTTAGCTTGCTCTCTGACCATTTCAGCAGCCATGGCTCTGGCTGCAGGGAGCCCAAGAGACCCGAGGAAGCAGTGGTGGCAGAGAAGCAGCAGCACATCTGCAGGCCTAGGAACAGCCTCATAGGATTCAGGCTGGGAAAGTGGTTTTGTTTGCTAAGTGGGGAGGGGAGGGATGCAGACAGATGAAGAAATGTTCCTGAAACCCTACTGCTTCCATCTTTGATGTTGCTTAACTTGACATTTCATCCCAATTACCAGGCATTACCCAGTCATAGAGGATTTTTTTTTTTTCCTAGAACCATGCCAGGTCGAAGTGAGACTGCTGCTGGCCTACAACTCCAGTTCACGCATTCCAAAATCCCCTTGGATTGAGGGTGGAGAGATGGCACCCCAGGTGGAAACCAGCATTGAGGGCACCATTCCCTTAAGCAAGTCCGTAAAAGTGTACATAATGCCCAAGCCCGCAAGGCGCTGAGTCACAAGCGGTCTTAACAGCCGTGTGCTAGAAGGCCCTTCTTGGGATCAGAGTGAGCCGGAAGCCTGGAGCATTTCACCTGGAAATGGTAATATAGGCATAAGGAGGAACATCTGGTATCAAACATTGGGTAAATTATTTTGCATTAAGAAAACAAAAACCTTCAGGTCAATCCCACCCCTACCCCACCCTCTACCCCACCAGCCCTGCCTCCAATAAAGTTGAGAGAAGACCAGGCTGTTCTAGTTCCTGACCTTAAACAAATTTGTGTGGCTATAGGTTCAACATTTATACCACGTGCTTACATTCTTCAGGTGTGAAACAAAGGTCCAATTTTCTGGCCACTTCCAAAGAACCAGTTGTTGGAGCCATAATCTCACTTCTTAAAGCAGTAGTCTGTTTGCCAGGGCCAACTCCAAAGCAATTTTCACAGCTGTACTTTTCCACCATCCACAGTTCCTGAATGGCCCTAGATACTTGCTATCTTACCTAGCGTCTCCTTCCCCAGCTCAGACAATAGCTGGGCCAAGGACTGAATGAATAGCTGAAGAATGAATCATTTTCATCCCTGAGGGAAATTCTTGATCTTGCCTATCATTATCCTTAGAACCAAAATAATACAGAAGGGCCATATTTTAGGGGGAAAAAACCCTAAAAAACAAGATTATGGGAAAGAGGGATCCGGTGTAAGAAATAGTCATTTCCCACTACATCTCTGATGACTCCAGTGTTGGAGCTACTTCGCTGGCCTGGGCCACACAACTAGTAAATGACAGAGGTGGGAGGTGAACCCAGGCAGTCTGCCTCAAGGAGATCATAACTGCTTTAGAAGGACTAGGGGAAGAAGATTACTTGCAGGGAGCTTGCTTTTCTTTTCTTTTTTTTTTTTTTAACATTTTTATTGATTTATAATCACTTTACAATGTTGTGTCAAATTTCAGTGTTCAGCACAATTTTTT